TCTGTCATTGGGTATCAATGGATCAAATTAGTTTTGTTCAAGCTTATTGGGAGTAATATAAAGGAAAGAGCACTATGATCTGGCTTCCACTGAAAAGTTTTTGTCAGCAGATTTTTGGGTCTCTCTCTAAGTGTTGTCTTGTAGTTGTACGACTAGTGAAGATGAAGATCAAGACATTATCAACATTGATCTTATGCATATGGAAGGACATTCACCCTGACATCTTGGAGATTTTTCTAGTATTCCAAAGCTGAATCTGAGTAATCTTGCAGATAGATATGTATATCCTGCAACTACTTCTGCTATTTAGTTCAAGTATGGTTTGTGAAACAAGGGATGCAGAGTTGCATGTGTTTTCAGTGTGTGAATATGAAGATGTTGATGTAAGTCTTCATGTGCTTGGATTCTCTCTTTTAGGGGGGAGTATTGATTATGCATGACAGAGGGAGTTGTGTACCTGTCTGATGTGAAACTGCATTGCTGTAGCCTGTGCAAAGTTTGTTGTTTCTCAGGCAAGCTTGTGTTCTTGGACCATTGATGAGGTTGTAATGTCAGACAAGATGTTTTGACATTGTGCTGTCTGGTGTACCTTTTTTCCTTGACAATATGTTTATGGGTCTGGCTGTTGGTTTGAACTAGGATTGTGCTTGCTCCTTATGAATGGCCTAGGAAACAACATTGGTTACTGTCTAGGAGAATTTATTTTTCTCTGCATAATTTTTGTGTGTCTCAAATTGGGGATTTAAAATCAATTGTTACTTAGCAAGTATTGATTATACTTTAATTGGTGATGTCAAAAGTGACACTCCTGAAGGTGCAGCTTCAGACAAGGCAAGAACTCAAGATTCAATGACTCTGTTCATGGGGTAAAGCTATGTGAAGTTTATACTGTGGAGGTTGTTTCTCATCATGATGAAGCATGGTGTATGATTACTTGTCATGAAAAGGGGTCATGGTGAGGAATCGTTGTGTCCCGGCTATGGATGGATCTGTGCAAAAGGGTAGCAGAGTAAAAGGAGAAGTAGTTGTTGTCCATGACTTGGTGCTTGTAGTCTGATTGTTTGATGAAGGAATCATTTCTTGAGGAGCTTAAGAATAATTGTTGTATTTGTAATGTCAGACAGGATGTCTGAACATTATGTCTCTGAGGAAGCTTCATGAGAGTTTATTTCTCCCTATGATTTTCTGGTGTTTGTGATGATATGTTTAGCTACTGCTGTTGTGTCCTCCTGAGACCTTCATGTGTATCTTAGTGAAGTGTATAGACTACTATGGAAATAATAAGTTATGTGGTTGGTGTCTTAAGAACCAAAGTGAGTGGTAAAGGAATTGATGTCACACATGATGGTGTGGATTTAGGATTGTGATACTTTATCTAATCATGCTAGAATATGACGTGGAGGATGTATTTTCAAGGAGCTATGATATCTGGATCTATACGAATCAGGATTGATTCTACAGTGTTTGAGTGAGTTCAGCAGGGAGATTTAAGTCTTTTTTCATGGATTGTTGTTGCAGTGGTGCAGTCTTTAAGCAGCTTGTGTATCTCATAGGAGGTTGTGAGATGGCAGTCTGGAGATTTGGACACCATGTGCAGGTTGTCAGCTGAGTCTTGCTTTAAAGTATGGTGATTATGATTCAGTTTTTAGGTTGGCTCTATTATTCGTGTGCATCTGAGTTTATATGTGTGTACATTTACTCCAATTTTTGTCAATTTTTTACTAAACAAAGGGGGAGTAAAGTGTTAATGTTTTTTTGTTGTTCTGATGTTATGTCACATCATGAATGTTATCTGTTGTTCTAATGTTATGTCATATGTATTGACATGATGAACAACATTGTGATAGGACTTTGCTACGACTGAGAGTAGTGTGTTGTTATTGCAGGCAACTATTAAGGGGGAGCATGATAGTTTGTGAGGCAAGATGTATTTGAGAAAAACTATTGTTGTTGCTGCTTTGGTTGTTTTAGCCAAAATTTGCCAAAGGGGGAGATTGTTAGTTCCATGATTCTATGATTGTCCATGCTTCTATGATTGGCTAAATTTTAGTAAAACATGATTCTGCATTGATGTTAAGCAAGATGTTATAACATCTTCATCTATTGTTGTGGCATAACTGCTATCATGTGTTTCAAACAAGATGTCAAGACAGATGTCAGGACATCTTTGTCTGGTACAGCAGGAGCTGCTATTTTATATCTCTTGACATAAGTATTTTGGATATACCTCATCAGTATGCGCAGGTCAAAAAGAGTTATTAGGAACAAAGTGCAAATTTAATTGGATTTCATAAAAAGGATCTTTGAGACTTTTTAAGAAACTAAAATATATTTGTTTCTACTGGTATGAAGAAGATTCTGCATGATTGGTTGTATGTTATGCTCTTTTCTGCTGCATGTGTTCTCTGATATGGTGACAAGTTGTCTTAGCCAAAAATTTGTCAAAGGGAAAGTTTGTAGATGTTCTTGATTGGCTGCATTTTGTGGTAAAACATTATTATGTGTGTAGATGTCATGACATACTTGTGTAGTGTTCTGCAGGATATGTTTGGTTAGCTAATACAAATTTTATTGGATGTCAAGCTGAATGTTGTGACATCGGTATCTGCCAACATGGGCGCTGTTTTGTTTTCTGTTATGCTTCCTTATTTATCTCAGGCTATAATTTAGGAAATTTTCTATTCAGTGTTGATCATGAAAGGAAACGCCTATGGCCTATTTTTTAGCACCTTGTATTGTGGAGATTGGATTAACTTGATTAAACCTAATTTATGCTACTTAGGCCTAAAGCCCAATCTGCATTACTATTTAAGGAGGCGCAGAAGCAAGAGAAATTAAGCACTCACAACAAGAAAAACTTGAGTGTAAAATAAGGGTTTAGGGTTTTGAGAGTCTTGCGTGTGTGACTTTGTAAGTCACCCTTTGTATCTTTGGATGCATCGTGGTAGACATATTTTGGTTGTTATTTGTTAATTGTTAATTGTTCACTCAAAGCTTGTAAGCAAGGGTGTTAACTGGTTTGTGTGTTTTCCCCTCTTCATTGTTTGCGCTGAGCATCATTTGCTTAAATTGGATAATTGTTCACCCAAATTGGGGCACTTAACACGCCATCGTCCACTTTCTGGGCAATTTTCCAGCACAAATGATGCTCGGTGCGACTAACTGGTTTGTGTGTTTTCCCCTCTTCATTGTTTGTGATGTAACTTGAGTTTCGTAACTCCGTTTAATGCACGGTTGAACGCTTTGGAAAGCTCTTTCAATGATATATTAGATGGTGAAGTAAAAACATGATTCTTATGCCAATGATTTGTAGGATAATGATAATAAACTATTATGTTATATATATATATATATATATATATATATATATATATATATATATATATATATATATATATATATATATATATATATATATATATATATATATATATATATATATATTTGGTTGTGATGTTAATATATGTATACATAACATAATTAAAAGCATATGATGATGAGTGAGGACACCTTAGGAGAATAACTTAACTAATAATTTAGAAGGATAATCTAGGTTTAGAAATGAGTATACGATGATGCTTGGACGTAACAGTATCTCGGTGTGTATCGCAAACAAGTATTCACCTGATTAATGAATTAATATGCATTTTATAAAATTTGTGGTTATAATATGAGATGGGTGGATATGACCACCTAATATTTGATGAATACCATGAGAATTGGTTTGATTATTAGTGAAAAACCTTTGTTCCAAAAGTCCTATTTAGTAATGAGCTTTGTTCCGAAAATCCTATTTTTTAGACCTAATCACATATTCAAATAATTATTTCTTGAGGGTGCACATCCCCTCTTGTGATGTTTATTTAAAATAAGAAATGAGATGTGGCACCAATGATCAAAATCATTTCCTCAAATGTAAAACTTACCTATTAAAGGTTTCACTTCTCCTTAACATTTCATTCTTTGATGGAGACGCCTTCGATCCCTTTGATCGGTTACGACATTCTGGATTCGATTCACTGCATAAAAACAATTTCATACATGCGAACTTCAGATTTTGAAAAGCAATATCCAGTATAATATTTCAACATGCAGATCCTTAGATAAATCACTTCATTATGATAATTATTTACCTTTTCGATGTCTCTTTGCTCTTCACCAAAGCATTTGCTACAGTTTCTTCCTTCTTCTGCCATCCACTTTGAACCCTCGAACGGTTGGTATCCATTTTTGAGATCGGGGTTTTCATTTCAAAATATTGCTTTTAAGTAGTTTCAAGCCTTAATCGATTAAGTTACTTTCTTTTGGTAGATGAAAAACGTTGTAGAAACAAGTAAATGAGTTACGTTATGTTGTCTCATTCATGAGTCCATCATTTATGAGTTACGTTATGGTACATGTTTACTCTCAAACGTTTAGCCCATTCAAAACAAGTAAATATTCTTTATGTTAATCAATTTTATTTCCTTACTCTCATAATTTATATGCAACGTTTATATCTAATTCAATTCTTTTTTTTTTCATCCTATATCTTCTATTTTATCCCACCCATTATTTTAAATAATAATTTGGTTTTTAGCTGATATTTTCTTTTCAAAATATTTAACAGTTTTTTTACACTTAATTTTTTTAATTAATTAATATCACACTAATTTAATTTGATATATTATCCTACATAAATTTTTCAATATAATAAAAGCTAACGTGTCATGTGATGGAATGACATACAAAACGTGTCAAGCCATTGTAAAGATCCCTTTGTTTACAACATCATGAGGATGATTATGCACATATTGTTACACTTCTATGTTCCAACAAAGTACAATACAAAAAAAAAAATGGTAATCCTAATATCAATTCGTAACACTTGATGCAGAGTGGTTTCATATCTGAGTTTGGATTGTGGAAGACAAGGTTGTCTTGTCAAGTATAGGTAGGTTTTTTCTTGTTTTGTGAATCTACTTTTCTATGTGTTAGATTCATTTTTTGATTAACAAAAGATGATGTTGTCTTGCATAGGAAAAGTTGTTATAAATGTTCATTTACCTGCGAAAATTGTGAAGAATTTGGAGATAAAGATGCTTGAGGAATGGAATCAAATAATTTCACAAAATATGAAGGAATATCACAATATTCACCAACCTGCTCTCATCATTGCCGGGTGTTCTGTTCTTGTAGCTATTGTGCTCTCACTTTTTCTCATTTTTCAACATCTTAGATCATATTCCAATCCTTCGGTACATTGTTTTTCTCATACCTATGTTGTTTTTTTTTTCTTTTGTATGCCATGAATTGTAGGTGTGTCCAATGAAGATTGGTCATTGAAATTGTATACAATTTAGTTAGTATTTTAAATTGTATTCATAGATACAACGGTAGACACTAACTATAATTTAAGAAAACTTCGGTGATTGAATATAATCACATGTCAATGTCGTGTTCGTGTTTGATATTGATAAGTGACATTGATATAGTATGTGTTTGTGATTAAATATAACTACATGTGTCAGTGTCGGTTTTGTGTCTATCATTGATAAATCACATTGACAAATATTGGACACCGATAATTTTTTGTGTCAATGTCATGTTTGTGTATGAATAACTACATGTATCAGTGACGTGTTTGTATCAGACACTCATAAGTGACACTAATAAGTATTGGACATTGAGAAGTGTTTGTGTCAATGTCGTGTTAATGACTAAATATACATGCGTCAGTGTCGGTCTGTATAGATTTTTGAGTAAAGAAAGAGAAAGTAACAAATTATGTGTGCTTTTTGCATATTCTAGTTAGTTACAATCTTTTGCCTTGAAAATGAGATTGAACGAGATTGAAAAAACTTCAACTAACTTGAAATTGGTTTGCATTCAGGAACAAAAATGGATTGTTGCTATCGTTTCTATGGTTCCAATCTATGCTACCGAGTCTGTAAGATTCTATTACTCTAAGAAACATATTTCCAATTTGATTTTAGCATCATTAGTTTAGTGGTTAATAATTATAAGATTCTATTCTTCTCTATCATCACAGATTATTTCTTTGTGGAATCCAAGATTATCTCTTCCTTGTGACATTTTAAGAAGCTACTATGAAGCCTTTGCTCTATACGCTTTCGGAAGATATCTGATCGCTTGTCTTGGTAAGTTTTGTATTGTGACCAGTTATACCATAAGACCGCGTAACGTGATGCTGAATTTTAGAACTTTGAAAACTCTTAGGTGGTGAAGGTAGGGTTGCAGAACTACTTGAAGATGAATCCGAGGAAAATCTCGAAAAACCCTTGTTGCATGATTCGGATGAGAACATCGACACCAAGCAGAGATCGTTTTGCAACTTCTTTTGGCGACCGTGCAAGCTTGGAAAAGATGTTCTTGCTATTGAAAAATTTGGTCTTGTCCAATATGTAGGTGCAAAAACTTTCCTCGAGAAGGGTTAGTAGTAACTAACTGTGAAGTCAATATAAGCCTAATGTCACTTAGATATAGTGCAGATGATCCTGAAGACTGTTTGTGCTTTCTTAGCAATTATACTTGAACTGTTCGGTGTTTATGGCGACGGGGAATTCCAATGGAACTACGGGTATGTTTCTCATGCAAAACAAGAATAGGTGTCGGTTTCGGACACGGACACGGACACGGACATAGACACACCTTTTTTCAGAGATGTCGGTGCAACAGAGTTAACGACTAATCATTTTGCAGGTATCCATATATAGCGGTAGTATTGAACTTCAGCCAGATGTGGGCATTATACTGCCTTGTGCAGTTCTATAATGTCACTCATGAGAGACTTCAACCAATAAAGCCACTTGCAAAGTTCATCAGCTTTAAGGCTATAGTGTTTGCTACTTGGTGGCAAGGTGTAGGAATTGTGCTATTGTGTACATATCAAGTGCTACCGAATGACGGAAAACTACAAACCGGGCTGCAGGATTTCTTAATCTGTATAGAGGTGGTTTCCTCTTTATACGATGGTACGCAACTTTTCAATTCCTTTTCGTGCAAGACTAGTAACCATTCATGTTGATGATGGTGATGCAGATGGCTGTTGCAGCTGTTGCTCATGTATTTGTATTTTCTGCAAAACCGTACCATTTTGTTCCCGCTTCTTCTGCGAACAGAAAAGTTAGAGAGGAAAGAATAGAAGCAACGTTGGATATAGATGAAGATGGAGAGAAGAAACCGGCCGTGCTTAAAGAGACGATGACTCAAGTGGAGGCTCCGAGAACAAGTGTCACAGAGAGCGTCCAGGATATAGTTGTTGAAGGCGGTCAACGCGTAAGTTCGTTACATTACCAATAACATAAGTTATATTACTTGTCACTTTTAATACTTAGGACCATCCTATTCATCTAACAAACAGGTTGTGAAGGATGTTGTAATGACGATAAACCAGGCGATAGAGCCGGTGACTAAAATTCAGAAAACTTTCCATCACAAAACAGTGGTTTCATCAGATGAGGAGAAAGAAGAATCAGATATAGAAATTGAGACAAATGTGACAGAAAATCTCACAGAGAAAGGGAATGATATTGCAATGGTGTAATTTTAAGGATGGAAGAGAAACTAGAAGAGGTTGCATTTGTGTTTAAGATGGAAGAGGTTGCCTATGTTTTTAAGATCAAATTTATCAATTCTAAAGCATGCAAGTGAAATGTTGTGGCCATTCTACATGGAAAACTTCATGCAACTTCATATACCAATATGATTAGTAGTGCTAGAATAGATTGTATAAATGTCATTTTTCTTTGATGCTAACCAAAGTGAATAAATGACAATAGAGGTCCTTTAAATTGTTTATTGTAAATAACTTATTTTACTCAAGTTATTTTTTATTATTGTTAGTAGTAATTTATACTGACTTACATTTCTCATACTAAGTGTTATTTTGCATATTTGTAAAAAATCTAAACTGCTCTTAAAATTCGGAAATGTATTTTAGGATGTATTAAAAAAAGAAAAATGCTTATCCGTAAAAAAAAGGTGAAAAAAAGAAATGCAAGAATAGGTTGGGTTAACTTTCTCGTGAGAAAGAGATTTACTCCGTACCATAGACTCGCTCTTCAGTTCTTGAGTTTCTTTTATTATGATTCTAACCGAAGTTTCGGATTTGTCTGAGACTTAGAGACCTTTAGATTGTTTGGAACCAGATATCACTTCATCCATCACAAGATGGCTGATCTTTTAGTATTTTCGAATAGACCTGATGCTTATACCATAACTCCTGATGATGCCTTTACCAACCTTGACCTTGACTACTTTTGGGGGCCTATAATCGGTAATTATCACTTTGAGCCTCATACCATGTTCTCTGAGAATATCCATAACCCTGTCATCCGCTATTTTCATAAGATTTTAGCCCATACACTGTTTGGTAAGGATGAGAACGTTACTTCTGCGTCAAAGGATGAGTTATTTATCATGTACTATGCTTCTAATGAAGGCTTGTGAATGTCGCCACCTATATGCTAGCAAACCTGAACAGAATTGTCCATGAGACCCAAGGTACTATTCTCATAGGAGGATTAGTTACCATGATTGTTAATTCCATTGGCCTAAGATACCAGCTTAACCGTATTCGTGCCTTTGGAGGTATCCGTCTCATGCACCTGAACTTTTGCTTTAACCGTGACATTATTGCTAATTTAGGACTTGTTGAGTTTGAGTTTCTGATTGATAACTGAGTGGTCCATAATTTCACCTTGCCCAACCATAAGAAAACCAATGTTCACAACAAGAATAACTGGCTTTATGACTTAGAGGAACAAAGTAAGTCGCCAACTCCACCAGATAGCCCTCAACCTTATGAAATCCAGGATGTCATTCCCTCTGATGTTGTTTCTCGCGTCTCTAAAGCTAATCGTCTTAATCCTTCTATAGACTTTGCCACCGTTATTGGTACTTTGCAGTCTGAGGTAGATTTTCTTAGGAGCGAGATCACTTCTATATGTGGAGATCTCATCGGCTTTATGGATGTCGCCAATGAGCAGTTCGATCACTTATACCAACAAGTTTACTCATTAAGGCGCCACATTGGTTGATGTTGATGACTTGTACCATTGTTTATATTGTTTCTTTGTTTTGAATTGTTTTAGTTTATCATTGTATTTCCCTTCATCGTTGTTTTGCATTTAGTGTACTGCCGCGTTATACGAAGGCATGTTGTTATTGTTATTTGATTTAATGTGATTTCCCTTTCTGTTGTTTATTTTTATTCCTAATTATTATCTGTTTTTATGTTTATACATTTTCGAACTTCTAAATAGACCTCCTGCACCTATAACTCGTAATAACAGTATTTTGGCTTTTAGAAATACTCCATTTGGTGTTTATGGACTTAAACGATTAAAATTGCACATTTTAGTTTAATGGTGTTTGCCATTGGTCTTTTATTTTGAAAAACCAACGTTCAACACACATGGTGTTCGCCATGTGCTTATGGCGTTCTCCATCACAGCGCAGTGAACAGTTCATGCGTGTTTTCAATTTCTTTTTGCGTGTTTTCCCAATACAAACCTATTCAAATCCCTTAACCTCTCCATAACCACACACATTAATCTCTATTAACTTCACCTTAACCTCCAACCATCCAAATTCTTCTCATTCTCTATAAAATACAAACAAACAAAAATACTCTTACTCCATCATCAAACCCTCTCATTATCATCCATTCTCCATCATGCCTCTAAGAATCGCTAGAGATATCGATTACATGGGTATTGAATTCGCGAAAGGCTTCGTTGGTGAAAATCAAAGAACCAACTTCTACAAGTTGTGGAAAAAACCTGTTGTCGCCACGCGGTATCCCGATATTGATACTATCTGTAACTTAGGGTTGTTCGATAGCGTCAACTAGATGCTAAACAACCTAGATATGTCGCACTTTTGTTCTCTTCCTAACCCCACATATACTAGGTTGACTTATGAGTTTTTGAGTTCTTTTCAATATTCCACTTACCTGTCTCGTGCTACTGGTTCCATAAATTTCAGGATGTTTAATAGAAATTACACACTCACCAGGAACGAATAGGCACAATCTTTCAGTGCTCTAGGCTTTTGGCGTCAGATTACTGATAAAACCTCTACCACTTGGGAAGGTCTTAAAGCCACTGCCATTCATAACCCATCCATTCCAAAGATCTTTTCTTCATCATTGTGCACTCTCTGAGACTAAGGTTAACCCGACACCTTTCCTTTTATCGCATCTTGCATCCGTCGCCAGTAGAACCGGTGGTCATATTTGTGTTGGAGGGGTGATTACCTCTATTACCTTTGCTTTAGGCTTAAACACTAAGTTGGATACTCTTTAGAAGTTAGCCACACCCTTTGCTAATTTAGAGTACTGCTGCTTCATGCGCCTTATTAAGAATTTTCCTAGCGGCACATACCGTTTGATGATTAGTAACCGGGAGGAGCATCACTTTGCCTTGCGCCGCACACATTAATGTGCGCGTTAGTACTAACTAGATTTTTGACAGTGAGGTCCCCGATCATGAGGTAGAGACAGTTAACCTGGAATATGCCGACCTTATGGATCGAAATGCTCCATAAAGTGGCACTCGTGCCCAAGCTGCTGATGATTTAGGGCCTAGCACTCGGGCACATACCACACCAGTTTTTTCTGACCAATTTTCAGGTACCTACTAGCTCCGTGAGGAGTATGATTACATTGTCATCCGGAGTACACTTGATGATATTCTGTCCGAGCTTAGGCATCAAAACGATAGGGAGGCAGAACGTGATCTACTGCTTCAGAGCATGCATAGGCAGCAAGAGGAGCAGTGAGTTTCCATTGACCAGGCCAGCCAGCAATAGGTTGATTTTGCTGACAAGACTCAGCATGACATAGGTGACCTTATTGAACAGATGGAGGGATTGAGGACAGAGGTGTCGGATATGAGGAGCTTATGTTGAATGTTCCACACCCTATACTTGGTAGAGGATTTGGATGTCACCGCGGCCGAGGCCGGCATCACTAAGCCTCACACCAGGTTTCTATACTCATTCTTTCACCTTTTACTGAAACATTGAGGACAGCGTTTGGTTCAAGTGTGGGGGAGGAGCTTTACTGCTTTATTTTTACTTTTCCCGTTGTTTTTATGATGTTTTTATGTTTTCTAGTTAGTTTCTATTAAATTTCTTTCTGTTTGTGCGCCGTTAAGTCCTACTGTATGTTAATTTTTCTTTTTGTTAGAGAATTCCCTTAAAATTGAACCCCTATGAAAAAAATTTGTTCTGATTCAATGGCATGACACTCCGAGAGTATAGCTTCTTTTTCATTTCTAGGCTATGTTAAGTAGACTTGGGAAAGTTTTGATAATATCGGTACCGTCCTAACACCCTAGATTTCCTAAGTATGAGGCATTGATTTAAATAAGCATTATGTCGAGACCTTGATTTTCGAGTTTTTGTATTAGCCTCTTTAGTAGTGTATACTAGCGGTCAACACCGTCCTACGTAATGAATTGATGCAAATATGTGTTTGATCTTGAAAAATTGAATTGAATAGTTTTATAGAAAAAGCAAATGAAAGGATATGTTCCCTCTAAGTTAGGTGGTCCTCACCTGACCATTTAGCCCAACGGACCGGATTCTTGAAATTAAAAAAAAAAGTGAGAAAATTTGAATAACGAGATCATAAAAACTAACAGGTTCACTTACCATGTTAATGCGGGAATAACGGGCTTAATGTGATCGCGCGAGAATAAAAAAGAGATGAAAAAGAATGAAGGATGTAGGGAGAGTCATAATGGCATGATTTGTATTGGTATTGCATAGGGGGGAGTCTTTGTCTGCAAATGCGGATATGTGTCATTACGGTGTCCTTGTTATCGACATTTAGTACCTATATGTTTTGCATTAGCCTGGAATCCGCATACGTTTTAGAGTGATGTCGTGGCTATGTTTCAGACATTATGCTTACTGTTTTCATTGCATTGGGAGTTTGCTTGAGGACAAGCAAAGGTCTAAGTGTGGGGGAGTTTGATAACGAGAAATCATATCATGTTTTTAGGCTCATTGCGCGCATTATTTATTCGTAGTTTATCGAGTCTTGTTGCATTTTACTTCGTTTTATTGTGTTTTACAATTATCAGGTTCATCTGTTGCGAATTCGGAAGCAAATCGAAAAAAAGTGAGAGAATAGCAAAAAGTACAGCAAATGAAGCAATTCTACCTCTGTCACTGATATGGCGTTCGCCATAGGTAGATGGCATTCTCCATCACCTTGCCTGCCACATCATTTTAGTGAAGAAGGAAATGATGTTCGCCATTAGTTCGCAGCAGCAATTTCAAACAGTTTTATTTTCCCTCCACTCTCATACACGTCCCAGGGCAGTTACAGGGCCAGTTTTCTCTCTATATATATATATATAGGACCTCTAGGACACATTCTGAGGCATCCAAGACGTGCAGAAGCGCTGCAGAAATTCTGATGATTGCTTAGGCACAAATTACTTGTAAAAGCTACAATAACTCACATCGAGGGATTGCCGCAACTGTTTTTCTATTTTTGTTTTCCTCTGTACTGTACTCTTAGATCATAAT